CCAGCCCAGGGGAAAGCCCACAATGCAGGAAGTCAATAGCCTGAACTGGCCTCAAAAATGAAAGATGCTGCAAATGAGTACAGGACAGCAGCCTGCGCGGCTGGGAAGTCCCCTTTTCTAAGATGAGAAGAAACTAGAATAACATCAGAGTTTCTTCCCAGGGGAGGGAACTTGCTCCTCCAAGGAGTAAGAAAGTACCTTTAAAAAAAAAAAACCTCTTCAAAATAGCAGACACCAAGGTAGCTGTCCAGACAAATACAAGAGAAAGGAAATATACCTCAGAATCACAATCAAGAGCTCAAGATGTTGCTGAGAAGAACAAGATAAAAGTGTCAGTGGGGGAGCTCTAGAAGAAATCACCTAATACCGAAGAAAACTAGAATGAGTTTTCTAAATGCACTGTCAGAGGTGGGACCGGCAGATACAATGCTCTCACCCAAAGCAGTTCAGCCCACCAAAGACTTAACACAACCCCCCCACACACACACACAGGTTGCCATTTGAAGAATGTAGGTGTCTGTGTCTCATCAGTGGTATCTGGTGTCGCTCCAAAACAATAGTGTTCAAAATGCTACATGCCCCCCCCCCCCAACTCTACTCAGGATTACTCTGGGCTGAGGTAGAGGGGGGGGGTTCCCCCCTCAACTTGCAGCCAATGTATGGAAATCCCTTAGGGTTTTCAAGGCAAGAGACATTGGGTCTGCCATTGCCTGCTCTGCACCATGACCCTGGTACTTCTTAGTGGTCTCTCCTCCAGACACTGGCCAAGGCCAACCCTGCTTAGCTTCTGAAATCAGGCTGGCCTGAGCTAGCCGCGTCAGGGATCAGGTCGAGTTTACAAGCTCATGATCACAGTTCTTATGTTTAAATGATCCTACGAAAGCTGCTCCTGCTGCAACCTGTGAATATTACAGGTTGCTCAGACACAAGATACAGCAAATCTGGCAGAAGCTAATACTGAGTTTGGGCTGTGCTTGGATGACTGACTGTTGGGGACCTTCTATATGCCACTTTGAATTCCATGGTAGATTAGTAAGTTGCAAATGACAACAATATTAAAGATGTTCGTTATAGATGAAACTTCTGAGCTTAGAAATATTTACTTGCTCTATTTATACTCCGCCTTTCTCCCCACTGATGACCCAAAGCAGCTTACGTTGTTTTCGTCTCCTCCATTTTATTAAGAACATAAGAGATGCCAATGTTGGATCAGGCCAAAGGCCCATCCAGTCCAACACTCGGTATCACACAGTGGCCAGAAATACCAGTGCCATCAGGAGGTCCACCAGTGGGGCCAGGACATTAGAAGCCCTCCTACTGTTGTTGACCCCCCCAAGCACCAAGATGACAGAGCATCACTTGCCCCAGAGTCCCTATCTATACCTTGTGGCTAATAGCCACTGATGGACCTCTGCTCCATATGCTTATCTAATTCCCTTTTGAAGCCGTCCATGCTTGTAGCCGCCACCACTTCCTGTGGCAGTGAATTCCATGTGTTCATCACTCTTTGGGTGAAGAAGTACTTCCTTTTATCCGTTCTAACCCGACCACTCAGCAATTTCATGGAGTGCCCACGAGTTCTTGTATTGTGAGAAAGGGAGAAAAGTACCTCTTTCTCTACCTGCTCTTTCCCATGCATAATCTTATAAACCTCAATCATGTCACCCCTCAGTTGTCGTTTCTCCAAGCTAAAGAGCCCTAAGCGCCTTAACCTTTCCTCATAGGGAAAATGTTCCAACCCTTTTATCATTCGAGTTGCCCTTTTCTGCACTTTTTCCAAAGGTATAATATCCTTTTTAAGGTGTGGTGACCAGAACTGCACACAGTATTCCAAATGAGGTCGCACCATTGATTTATATAGGGGCATTATGCTATTGGCTGATCTGTTTTCAATACCCTTCCTAATAATCCCCAGCATAGCATTGGCCTTCTTCATTGCAGTCACACACTGTCTCGACATTTCCAGTGAGTTATCTACTACAACTCCAAGATCTCTCTCTTGATCAGTCTCTGCCAGTTCAGACCCCATCAACGTGTATTTATATTTAGGATTTTTGGCTCCAATGTGCATCACCTTGCACTTGGCCACACTGAACCCCATTTGCCATGTTGACGCCTACTTGCCCATCTTTGACAGATCCCTTTGGAGTGCCTCACAATCCTCACTGGTTTTCACCACCCTGAACAACTTCGTATCATCTACTCCCAACTCCAAATCATTAATGAACAAGTTAAAAAGCAGTGGACCAAGTACTGATCCCTGTGGTACCCCACTGCTTACCCCCCTTCACTGAGAGAACTGCCCATTTATACTCACTCTCTGTTTTCTATTAATTAGCCAGTTTTTGATCCATAAAAGGACTTGTCCTTTTATCCCATGATTTTTGAGCTTACTTAGGAGCCTTTGATGAGGAACTTTATCAAAAGCTTTCTTTTCTATTCTCACCACAACCCTGTGAGCTAGGCCAGGCTGGGAGTGACTGGCCCAAGATCACCCAGCAGCTTTCACAGAGGAGAGGGGCTCTGAACCCAGGTCTCTCAGATTGATAGGCAAGACCAAAGTCATATTTATGTTGCTTGGTATAAATTCAGGGTAGCTGAAGTCTTAGGCAAGCTAAATTTGGTTAACAAGCAAAATAGGTTGTGGTAAAGTGGGCAAGATGTTCTAGACCATAGCGGATTAAGGAAAGGTGGTCTTTTAGAAATAAGGGGAGTTATTCTGCAACGTTTAGGAGATATAGAAGGTTAAAAACAAATGCATGCTTGGAAAATATACTTATAGAGAGAGGAAAGTTTAAGTGTTGTAATCTATAAACATCTGTGCATGTCTAAAAGTTGTTTGTCACACTGTATAAAAAGTTAATGATGATGCCTTACTAACGGTGTCCTTAGGTTTCTGCTGCCAAGGTCCCCTTTATTGCAATAAAGTTCTGTTTGCCTCTGGAATCTCACTGGCTGTGTTCATCACTGGGTGTTGGCACACCAGGCAACAGGCCCGTTTCACTAACAAGATGATAAGTGGTTTTCAGTGTTAAACTTTAACTCAATATCCAAATAAGCTCCTAGTTCTACTGGGCCTATATGAGCCCATTTGCATTCTATATACTTTCTACTGTTTACTAGAAAAGTTGCTTTCAATTTTTAATTGTTATTTCTTCTATCTCTCAGACAAAGAAAAGAATGATTACATGGGCTCAGCTAGCACAGGGTGCAGCAGTGTGCATCTCTCTCTCTCTCTCTCTCACTCTCTCTCTCTCTCTCTCTCTCTCTCTCTCAAGTATTGTGTATATTCATCATTTTGCCTGTAGAAAATGTAGTCATTTTACCTTTCGATTCCACAATCATTGTAATTTTACATGCCAACTGAATTGTGAATGATGTGTTCTATGCTGTTAAAGCAGTAAAATAAATTTTGGTTTGATAAGAACGTGTTGTATATATTTCAATTTTTACTCTAATTTCATTCAAACAAACAAACAAAAAACTCTTCCCCCATGACACCACAATTTCTAGAAACTTTACATCTCAAGTTGTGTCTGGCTCAGCGATCTCAGACGTTTATGAAGTGGACATAGGCTCAGTGAGATCACAGCCCCCCACCCCCAACCAAGCAGGCAGAGACCCTTACGAGGACATTCAAGACACACTTTATAGTGGAAAATGTCAACTGTGTGAACTGGCCTAGAGCATTACAGCCTCCAAGTGCTTGCAGAGAGTCTGTTTACTCATATGAGACACTTAGTAAGAAAGATGGAAAAGCATCTGTGGTTTGTATGGTCTTACAGCTAACAGTCATAAGCTGCGACATCGTTTCCAAGTAAGCCCAATTACAAAATAATTTGCAAATGAAGTGCAACAACATTTGCAAGATGACACGTATGTGTTTATAACCATAACTCTGTTACATTAAATTACATTTTTTTGGTGCCGGAAGACTGTAGGGCACTGGGAAGGTTACAGAAAGGGCAATGACATTCTGAACAAGGCCCAACAAATGAAGGGGCAGTAGGAGAGGAGAAATGAATCAGAACCACAGGAGGCTAAGCAAGGTTAAGATGAACCAGCAACAGAAGGTTTGACAATTTTTTTCAGCCTCACATTAGCAGTATTAGTAGATGGATGACACAGAGAGCTACACGGGGGAACCACCGACCACAAGGAAACCAACACCAGTTGTCTGATGGGCTACCACTTTCTGCCTGCTGGGGCAGGGGCAGAACCTAAACATCCCGTGTGTGAGTTCTTGGGATCCAGTGGCGTGGAATGGCGCTGGAACACCCATGCATGAGTTGAACTGAAAAGATGAAGGCGCTTTTCCCAAACACATCTACTTGCAGCAAAAAGCAAAATCTTTCAGCGATATTTCAGAGGGGCCTTTTAAAAAAGTATAAAAGTGCTCAAAGCAGTGACCCAGGGGAAAAAGAGAACAATAGTCAGGGTCCTTATCTAAAGAAGCAGAGCTGCCACAGTGTGATGCAAAGGAAAATTCAAGCTGTATTCGGTAGATTCGACAGCAGTCATGCTTATACTCCCTTCCCCTCTGACACCCATTCAGAGTGAGAGTAATGTGATGCAGGGAACATTATCCTCACTGTCAATTGGCTTGGTTGGCCCTCGGGCATTCTAGTGCTTGACTCAACCTTTTAGCTATGTGTCATCACCATGCTCACTATTTAATCAGTGGATCATTCCAGGAACAAGAAGTCTCTGCCTTCCCACCCAAATAATGTTGAAACAGCAGCAAAGGGAACAGTGCATAAACACCTGGAAGATGACAGTAAAAGAAAGGGGTTTTGGGAAGAACATGCGGCATTTGGTCCTGGTAACATGTGCAAGGCAAAATGGTCAAACATCGGGCACAGCTCAATTCCAGACTTCAAATGAGGATGTGCTAATACTTCTTGAAGATGAAAAGGTTGCCCGTTAAAGCTATCATACACAGCTTATTTTCAACCCACATGGGACCGAAACTAGGTCAAACTCTACACAGGTCAGCTTACTTGCTATGGTGTGGGCTCCATTTTCTTCCCCGTTTGCGGTGTTTTCGCCATTTTTCGTGGACCCCTGCTGGTTCGGAGGAGCGGCCGCGGCTGCAGCTGCCGCCTGTTGCTGCGCAAGCTTGTCTCTATAGGCCTGCTGTCTCGTCTGCACCACATCTGGCATTACGGCGTCTATCAGCGAGAGAGACTCTATCGGCCGACCGTCAAATAAAGTACCATCCTAATTTGGAGAATCAGAAGTAGGGGAGAAAAAGCCAATGTTTAACAACATGTTAGATTTGCAGCAGGAAGGGAGGACGTTTTAGTTATCATATTTACAGCATTTGGCCTACAGTGCTGACTACTTTGCTATCATTATTTCATTAACTTTGGTAACAACAATCCTCAGCACCTTCCCCTCATTCTACAGAAGACAAACGATGGGATGGATCCACCTTTTCAGGACTGTAGATCTTCCCCCTCCTCTAGCAGACGGGTGCAACCCTGGGAAGATTTATTCCTGGTGTTGTAAGTAATGCATGGAGCAACAGTCATGTGGGCCAGGAGGATCCAGTGGGGAGTGGAGCAAAGTTGCTCTTTTCTTCATCTTTTGCCAGTGGAGCTCCACTCATGGAAGAGGAAGCAATTTTGCCCCCTCCCCACTGCAACCTCCTGACCCACCTGTATATTACTCCACATGGGTCTTGCAACCCTGGGAATACAACATTGCCAATGTCAGATATGGATGCTGGGGAGGGAAATGCTGGGAAGATCAGCTACTTGCCACTGACTGACCACAGGATCCAACCTATTGTGTGTACTTGAGATAGACCCCAATCTAAGGAAGCTTTCAGGTAAATTTGAGCTCAGGTCTCCAGGGTTCAATACCCTTATTGGTTGAGTCCACCATTGGCTGCTTCTTGTTGCCTTTGAACTCAAGTACAATCAATGCTCAAGTAAAAACACATAGACAGCACACTGGCCACGGAAGATGCATACGTGTTGCCAATGCTATACAAATATTAATTTTATTTGATTTTTTATTTATAACCCACTTTTCTTGCTGAGAAAAGCTTGAGACAATGCAATCAATAGCATGAGACATCCAATGAACAGTGCTACTTAAAGGCATCTATTACGTCAGGGAGAGGCTGCCTAATGGAAGACGAATGACCACAAGGTTCAGGGGCTGTATCTTGCTCATCCAAAATAGCTTTCTACTCTTTACCCAGAAACAAAATGAATGAGTTGCCCCAAAACAAAAGACTACATTGAAGGGAACAACCTTGGTCGTCCCAGTGACAGCTGAAGGCAATGTCTTGATCCCTGGTCTGAAGGACATATAAAAGCCATCAAGACAAGACTACTCCCAGTGCTATCTATGAAGTACATTTTTATCACACTCCTTTCCCAAGGAGCTCACAGCAGGGCCTATGGTTCTCCCTTCCTCCATTTTATCTTCTCACCAACCCTCTGAGGTAGGACAGGGTGAGAGAATGTGACTGGCCCCCAAGGTCATTCAAGCGAGTTTTGTGGCATTGTGGGTAATTGAGCCTGGGCTTCTGAGATCCTAGTCAGACATTCTAGGCACCTCCACTACACTAACTTGGCATTTACGCTAATATAAGCAACCCGTCTACTGCTTCTGCAAAGCCATGCTGCTTTAGCAGTTTTAGAACATGGGAGTGGCTGAGGATACATTTAATTGTCACACCAATGTCAGCCCTTCCTTTACCCTGGAAGTAAATAATAGCTGAGCCGATGTATTCTCACAAATAACACAGACCTTGATTAGGGAGTGGACTAAATGAGTGCACGTGCAGTGTCCCTGGGGTTGTCAGAGATAAAAACCTTGCAGGTCCCATTTACAAATGGTCTTAAGAAAGCTGACTATTTTAAAGGTCTATGTTTAGACAATGGGGAATTCCTTGTGATGGGCAGCCCCCCCACTCCTTGACTGGCAGTTCTTGGTCCAGCTTCCTTGTCACGGCAAGCTGAGAATGCTCTGTCTATTCTACCTGAAAGGTAAAACAGAGGGATATCAACAGCAGGGGAAGCATTTACTTGGCTGCTGGAGCTTTGCAGGCATATCTAAAAAGGCTCTTTCGACAGGACATGGACAAGCCAGACCACCAATGCAGAAAAACAGGTTGCTTACCTGTAACTGGTGATCTTCGTCGTCTGTGCATTCACACCCATGGGATCTAGTGCACACGCGCTGGATCGATCAGCATTGTAGCAAGCTCTTTAACGATTTTCACACCCAGACCTCGGGAATGCGCAGGAACCCCACCGCGCATGCCCAGAGGGGTGGGCGCGGACATCCCGCCAGTTCCTTCAAACCGCTGCGAATCAACCCCTATGGAAAATGTAGATGCTGACAGCAGGGGGGAAGCAGAGCGGGTGGTGTGAATGCACAGATGACCACTCAAAGATCACCAGTTACAGGTAAGCAACCTGTTAATCTTCGATGTGGTCTCTGTGCTTCACACCCATGGGAGATTAGCGAGCAGTGGCCTAGCTGGAGGAGGGTGCTGGCAGGTCCTTACTGCGTAGCCGAAGATAGAATATGACGTCCCATGTTGGTATTAGAGTTCTTACGGACGTCTAGGGCGTAGTGCCTTATGAAGGTGTTAGGTGTGGCCCACGTAGCAGCTTTGCAAATGTCCGTCAAGGGAACACCCTGGAGGAAGGCAGTGGAAGCTGCAACAGCCCGGGTTGAATGGGCCCTGATAGGGCCAGGCAATGGCTGTTTGGCAATCAGGTAGCAGAGGCGGATGAGACCTGCGATCCACTTTGAGAGGCGCTGAGAGGTGATGCGAGTCCCCAGCCTTGCTGGTGTGTACGAGACGAACAGTTGGGAGTCACATCTCGCTGGGCGGGTTCTGTTCAGGTAGAACAGGAGCGTACGCTTCACATCCAATGTGTGTGACAGTCTGTCCTCTGAGGATGTCGAAGCCGGGAAGAAATCCGGAAGGAAGACCTCTGCCTGTAGGTGGAATTCTGACACTACCTTTGGCAGGAACGAGATGTCAGGTACAAGGCGGACACCGTCTGGCAAAAAGGACAAGTAAGGCGTGTCATGTCTGAAAGCCAGTATTTCTCCAACTCGCCTCGCAGAGGTGACAGCAACCAGAAAGGCCATCTTCCATGACAGGAATTTCAGGTCACAAATTGAGAGTGGCTCAAAGGGTTTCCTCGTGAGCTGACGAAGAACTAGAGGAAGGTCCCAGAGAATGACAGGAGTTTTGACGGGAGGGTAGAGGTGCAACAGACCCTTCATGAAATGTTTTGAAAGCGGATGAGAAAACAGTGTGCATCCATCAACTGGAATATGGTAGGCCGAAAGTGCGGCCAAATAAACTCTTAACGAGAAGTGAGAAAGTCCCGAGTCAGCGAGGGACAGGAGGAATTGGAAAACTCTCTCGAGAGCTGTGGAGGTGGCTCGAGGGGCCTTGTCACCCAAGGAGGAACAAAATCTTTGCCATTTGTAATGGTAGGACTTCCGCGTAGTAGGCTTTCTGGCGTTTAGCAAAACATTTGCTACGCGGGTGGAAAAGGTGGTGATGGTATTCTCCAGACTGTCAATTTCATGTGTGGTACATCGTGGTACAGGAGAGGGGAATCGGACAGGAAGAGGAGGTCTTGTGCCGGAGGAAATTGGTGGTATACCCCTGCTGATAGATCAAGAATGGTCAAGAACCATGGCTGTCTCGGCCACCACGGGGTTATAAGGATGCAGTCCGCTCCATCGCTGATGATTTTGCGGACCACTCTCAACAGCAGGGGTAGTGGAGGGAAGAGATAGAGAAATTCCCTGGACCATGGATAGATGAGACCGTCTCCCAGAGACTGTGGGTCCCTGCCTCCTCGACTGCAGAACAGAGGACACTTTTTGTTGGCTCTGGTGGCAAAAACATCGACTTGGGGAACTCCCCACCTGCGGAAGAGTGGGAGAAGTTATGTTGGGTTCATTTCCCACTCATGGAGGCTGAGTCCTGCTTGACTTAGATGGTCTGCCTGCACATTCATGTGCCCTGGGATGTGTGTGGCTACCAGGAAGACGTTGTGGGCGATGCAAAGGTCCCATAACTGAATGGCAAGGTTGCAAAGGCGTAAGGAGACCGTGCCTCCTTGCTTGTTGACATAACTGAGCGTGGTGATGTTGTCTGTGAGGACCATAACACATTTCCCCTTGAGCATTGGTAGGAAACTCGTGACAGCGAACTGTATTGCAAGCAGTTCCAGGACGTTTATGTGTCGTCTTTGTTCGTGAGTGTTCCACTTGCCTCCGACACAAAGACCCATCATGTGGGCACCCCAGCCCGACAGGGAAGCATCCGTGGTCAGGGTGATTTGGGGTGATGGATGATGGAAAGGTGCTCCCTGGAAAAGATTGGAAGGGACAGTCCACCAAAGTAAAGAGTCTCGTATATTGGGAGGAGGGGAGAGGATGGTGGTATGTGCGTTTTCTGTTGGGTCGTACTTGCAGATAAACCACAGTTGTAGGCAATGCATTTTCAGTTTGGCAAAGACCAGGACCGACGTAGTTGCGGCCATAAGGCCGAGTAGCCTCTGTATTTTGAAAGCCGTGATTGAAGGCTGGGTACGGATGACAGTGGCCAAATGAATAATGTCTGCCGCTCTGTTTTGCGGAAGGTAAGCCATGCATGTCTTGGAATCCAGTAGAGCACCGATGTACTGTATCTTCTGGACCGGTAGCAATTGAGACTTTTCCCGATTGACTTGTAGGCCTAAGTTTCACAAAAGTGTCAACGTCTCGATGATGTTTGAGACTAGGGCATTTTTGGAAGGCGCTACCAAGAGCCAATCGTCGATATACGGGTAGATGGAGATACCCTTGAGACAAAGGAAAGCCACAACCACAATCATACTCTTTGTGAAGACACTTGGGTCGCTCGACAGGCTGAACGGCAGGGCTGCATATTGGTAATGCTGTTGACCAATTGCGAAGCATAGGTATTGGCGGTGGGAGGGGTGGATGGTGAGGTGAAAGTATGCGTCTTGGAGGTCGAGGGTGGCCATCCAGACGTTTTTCTGAAGAAGTGGCATTATCTGCTGCAGGGACACCATGCGGAAGCGGTGGTAGGTCACAAATTTATTTATTTATTTATTTATTTATTCTTTGGATTTGTATCCCGCCCTCCTCGAAGTTCAGAGTTCAGAGCCCTTAGATCTAATATGGGTCGAACGCCTCCATCCCACTTTGGAACTGTGAAA